GGGTGATGCTGCATGGAGGCTGTTTGGGCTGTGTCAGAGCCCCAGTGCCCCTGTCCCACTGCTGCCTCAGGCCCCTTGGTGCCTACCTTGCCCAGGAGGAGCTAGTGGAGGGTCCATGTCATCTCCCTCGACTCACCCGAGGAGACAGCGGGGGCTGCCGTGCTGTGCTGGGGTTACCCCAGCATCATTCTGCACTCCACTGGGCTCACAAACCCCAAGTGAATGGGAAACAGGCTGTTCTTCTGCAGATGATCTATCTGCCTCATGCTCCTGCCTTCTTCCCTCCCCGCTCTTGTGCGTTGCCCTGGCCTGGTGCCTGTCAGTGCTTCATGACAGTCCCTGACAGCCTCTCTCCTCCCAAGGTTTTTGTGGAAAGGGCCAACCTGAGCCTGGTGCAGCGGCGCCTGAAGCTGAAAGATTTCCGGGACGCCTACCCCCGCTTCCCCCCCATCCAGTCCATCCACGTCTCCCAGGACGAGCGCGAGTGCATGATCGACCTCAGCGAGTTCATGAACCCCTCACCCTACACCGTGCCTCAGGTAACAGCCAGGGACCCCTCCGCACCCCAGCATCCCGGGTGTCATGGGTGGGCGATAGGTGCCGGCCGGGGATGCTGCAGCCCTGCTCTGCCTTGCAGGTGGTGTCTCTGCCACACGGGTTTGCAATCTCTTCCGAGCCCTGGGGCTACGGCACTTGGTGGTTGTGGACAATCACAACGAGGTGAGTCCCTGCTTGCCGTGTGCAGGCAGCCTGGGCTCCTCGGGGTAGGGGACACACTGCCCTTGTCCCCAGGCTCTGCGTGCCAGCGTGGGGCTGTACCCTGTCCCTTTTCCTGGCAGGTTGTGGGCATGGTCACCCGCAAGGATCTTGCCAGGTACCGGCTGGGGAAGGAAGGCCTGGAGGAGCTCTCGCTGGCACAGACGTGACTTGGGGCGGCACTGCCCAGCGGAGATGTGCCCCGGCCCCTCGGAGCCGGGGACCCCCTTTTGTGAGAGGCAGGGAGAGGACTGGGCCAGCCTGTGCAAGCATCGCGGTGCCTGGAGCACCGGCACAGCTGTGCTGGACCGGCTCTCCTGCCCAGCGCTGCCTTCCCATGTCTACTGCCTCCTCTTCTCACCCCTTCCTCTGCTCTCCCGAGGGATCAAAATGCACCCTTGGCTCCGTTAGCTTCTGGCATAGGCTGTCCCTGAGGGTTGGGTGAAGGCTGGAGTGTGCCAGGGGAAGAACTAGTGCCCTGCTGAGCTGGGCACAGTCCCGCTGCCACGGCACATGGCCTCCATCACGTCATCCACCCGGCCTGGGCTGTCTAGGACCTAGCCCTGCCCTGGCCTCTGCTGCAGGGCACGTGTGGGGAGCGGAGGGGACATGGTGGGGCTCCCTCCTGCTCCCAGGGCCTCGTCCCCCCTGCCCTGTGCTCTTGCTGGCTGGGTCAAGCTGAGCCCTAGGGCAAGCGCTTGTGTCTCTGCCCCTCCAGCTGAGGAGGGGGCCGTGCCCTGCTCGGCTGTGCAATAA